TGCTTTAATTTCTTTCTTGTGTCTAATTGCTGTTAGCCTTTAAATATTTATTAAAAATGATTTTCATGGGCTGGGGATTTAGCTCAGTGGTGTCATCGCCTGCCTTGTAAGTGCAAGGACCCGAGTTCAATTCCCAGTACCAAAAAAAAAGATTTTCAGACTGGGTATTTAGCTCAGTGGCACTGTGCCTACCTGGCAAGTGCAAGGTCCTGAGTTTAATCCCTGTACCAAAAAAAAAAAAAAAAAAAAAAAGATTTCAGTGTCGAAAAATGATTCCATTTGATGAATCCCAGTTAGCTTACTTTACTCCAAAATGCTGGGCTTTTAGGTAATTTTTTTTTCTTTTCTTCTTTCTTTTTTTCTTCACAGTCTCACTATGAAGTTCAGGCTGGCCTTGAACTCACTATGTAGCCTAGGCTGGTCTCAAACTTTCAGCAATCTCTTGCCTCAGCTTCCTGAATGCTGGGATTACAGGTGTGTGCCACCACACCCAGCTTGTAACATTTATTCTTTTTTTTTTTTTTGGTACTGGGGATCAAACTCAGGACGTTGCACGTGTGAGACAGGCAGCGGAACCACTGAGCTAAATCCCCAGCCCAACACTTTTTCTTGATACAGATGGTTCCAGATGTTTTCCAGAATGGCTGAACTGGTATACACGTTTACCTCACTGAGTGTGTGGGTCTCACCACTTCCTTGACAGCACTGAATATTTTGTTATAAACTGTACTAATTGGTCAGGGAAGCATGGTGTGGCTTTTCATTGTTTCAATTTGAAATTGTTCTTTCTTTTTTAAGGTAGTGATATTAAATATTATATCACAGGTTTAACAACCCAGAACACTTCTTCTGTAAATTGTTCACAAGTGCATCTTTGGTATTTTTTTTCCTGCTGGATTCTTACAGCTGTTTCCTTTTTTTTCGGTACCAGGTATCAAACTTGGGACCTTGAGCTTGTGAGACAGGAGGCAGAACCACTGAGCTAAATCCCTGACCCTAGTATTAGTTTTCTAGGAGTTTCTAATCTTTAAACATCATGAATGTTAATATTCCTGAACATTTTTGAGTTATCTACTTTTATTACGTAATTTTTCCCATCTTTTTTTTGGTACCGGGGATTGAACTCGGGTCCTGCACTTATGAGGCAGATGATGACACCATTGAGCTAAATCCCCGGCCCTTCCCATCTAAATTAATATTAGAAGATTTATTTTTACTCCTTGGATATGCTTTGACAGGCAAATGATTCTTGTAACATATTTTCAGTTCTGTCTGCTACATATTCACTAGAACTTTGTATCATATTCGTAGTTGAGATTGGTCTGGAATTTTCTATTTTTAGTGTTTCCATTTCATAAAATCGACTGTGTACCTTTCTGTCTTTGTCTATACTAGGGGATAGTTTACCTAAATGTTTATTTCCTAAGAGTATGAAAGGGTCTAGCGCTAAGATAATTTGTTTTGAAGTAATTTTCATATCTTTTTGAATGCACTGTCCACCTAATTAATACCTGTCAAGGTTTCCCTTCATTTTTTTAAGATGTTCAGATTTAGATTTTATATTACATTTTTTGTATGTTCTTTTTACACTTTACTATCTCTAGTCTTTTCCCTTTCTCTTTTAAGGTCAGATTTTAAAAATTTGACAAATTTAAAGAACTGTTTTCCTGTTTTAAAAAATCACATAATTACTATTTTTAGCATTATTAGTTTCTTCCTTGTCCTGTGTTTATTTTATTATTGTTCTTCCAATGTTGGAATTACTCATGACATTTTCCCTTCTTATATGAGGCTTTATATTTATTTCCAAATACAGTTTAGGCTTTATATTATTAGATTTGGACTGCACCTTTATTTTTATAATTTTTTTAGTTGCCAATAATGAAATTCCTTTGAATATGTTGTTCTTTAGGAGAATCTTAGTCTCCAGTGTCTAGATTTTGTTTGCTTACTCATTTAACCTTCTATTAGTAATTTCCTGTTAGCTTTTTGGTCAAAGAAAATGACCTTTATAATTTCTGCTTCTGGATTGTATAGAGATTTTATTTCTTTGGTAAATTAGCTTATGATCTATTTTAGCAAATACTCTATAAATCCTTGGAAAATATGATATTTCAATTGTTTATAGGTTATAGTTATTTCATCTAAGTTTCGGTGTATCTTTTGTAAGGAATATATTTATTTGGATTTTAGTTTTAAGCTAATATTGGTCTTTTAATAGAGGGCTTTAATCCTTTTTTTCTTATCAGTATTGATACATTTAATCTCAACCTCTTTCATTTTCAAAAAATTGTAAATGTTGGCTTGTTATTTGCTGTCTTTTGCTGTATCAATATGGTTTATATAGCTTAAGTTCTCCTGGATTTAAAAGGTATATGCCCTGTTATTAGTTTCACAAGTGAATATATAGCTGCTAACATTGTCTTTTGAATTATATTTTTAATTATCAAAGTGAAAAGAGACAATACAAATTTAGCATATTTTTACTATTCCTGCAGTAATGTCTCCCATAGGCTTTCAGCCTTTGTTAATATAACCTTCAGTTTGGGATCCATGTTATTAATGTTTACATTACACATTTTCTCTTTCAAAGAGTGCGTTTTGCTATTTGCATTCAGTTGTATGACCATATTTAACAGGTGTGTAAATTCTAATTTAAATCAGTTTCAGTTTCTACCAAAGTTCTTCCGTGCTGTGAAATCCCAGTCAGTGCTTTTAATTTTGAATCACTTCATACTTGGTGCGCCCCTTCAAGACAATGGTTCAATTGGAAGTACATCTGTCTTAACCCTGGCAAGTTTAAGAACAACTTTGTAATTTTCTACCACGGATTAAGTTGTGTCCCCCTCCAGTTCAGTGTTTGAAGCATTGACCCCACTGTAAGCACAGTCGTACACAGGGTCTTTCGGGAGGTAAGTAAAGGGAAATGAGGCCTCAAGGGTGGAGCCCCAGGCAATTAGAATTTGTGTCCTCCTGGGAAGAGAAAGGGGTGACCGCAAGGTGCACATACAGAGGACAGGCCCCGCAAGGACACAGTCAGAAGTTAGGAAGAGAGGCCTACCGGAAGCCAACACTGCCTGTGCCCCGATCTTAGGCCTCCACCGTGGAACCACTCATCTGTGGGCTCCTGGTATGGCAGCCTGAGCTGTGGATTTGAACACACCATTGTGTATAGTTTTCTGGGTTGCACACTTCACCACCATTGGGTTCAACTGTTTCCACAGTGAGTGGTGTTCTGTGAAAGGTAGCGTGGAGGTTAGAGGTGTGGCAAAACACGGAAGCATCTGGCTCCTTCCAAAACCAGTGCTTGGATTTAGAGGAATGGCAACCCAGTTTTCAGATAGTGCTGGGCCAGGCGGAACTGGCTTTGATTTCTTTCAGCCTTTTCTTTAGGCAGCAGGAGAGGCTTAGATTTGTTTTCTTAAACTTAGTTCTATTAGGATGATAAGTAGCAAAATTTCTCTCTATCCTTCCTAACACCAGTACAATGGTTATGATTAGCTTTTGCTATAACATGCTTTCATCTTTTTCTTAGTCTTCTTAAGATTGAATAATGCTTTCAGTGGCCGGGGATTTAGCTCAGCAGTGCTGCCACCTGCCTCGCAAGTGCAAGGTTCCGCTAGCCTTGAACTCACAGTGATCCTCCTGCTTCAGCCTCCCAAGTGCTGAGGTTACAGGTGTGCTCCACTACACCCAGTAAAATTTCCATTTTTGATCTTTCTAGAAGATGCCATCTCATCTCAGCAGGCTCATGAAGGCTCTTTCTCTAGTGGAAGACAACTTGATGGTTGTCCAAAGAGCTGGTTACAGGGTTGTCTGAATACTTGGCTAGGGGGAGGAAGCTTAGAAACACAACTTTGGTCTCTTTTGAGATTTGTGTATTTGTAATCACACTGTTCACAATATATAAGATCTATCTATCTATCTATTATCTATCTATCTATCTATCATTTATCTATCTCCATCTGGATGCTGAGTGGTTGTAGCATGGATGAGGTAATATCTCATACATATACAAATATATACACACATATTTATGTATTAATATACCAACATAAACCCTGAAAATCAATACAATGGCTTCTCTTTACCATAGTTTCTAGATGCTGTTCAACAGAGAACAAAAATGTGGCTTGTGCAGCTGTGGCAAGTGGAGAGCCAGTGCAGGCGCAGCACGTAGGGGAAGGGGATATCCTCTTCCTTCCATTTGTCTAGTCCTGTAATCATCCTGCAACACACTGTTGTGCAACTGTTCCAAGCCCGGCACTGTGCTAGGTGCTGGGTGACTGAGCCATAAACTCGATCCTTTCAGTGTGGTATTCAGGCCGTCTTCAAGGCCGTGGGTTGGTGGCCTTGTGGGGAGCAGAGACTTGCACAGGGAGGAATTCTCCCCCGTGGTCAGCACAACTCAGTGGGAGTTCTAGCGGAAACATGTAAATTTGGCTTCCACACAGGAAGCGCTTCCTAACAAATGAACTTGCCTGCTATCAGCACAAGGCTTCTTTTTTTTGTTTTGTTTTGTTTTTTGAGACAGGGTCTCACTATGTAGTTCAGACTGCCCTGGAATTCACCCAGGAATAGCCCAGGTTGGTCTCAAAATCACAGCGATCCTCCTGCCTCAGCCTCCCGAGTACTGGGATTACAGGCGTGCACCACCATGCCTGGCATGGGCTTCTTTTTGACATGGTTATGTTTCCTGCCACTGGAATGGTTCAAGTCAATGCTGCCAAGGTACCACGGATGAAGTTCTAGACCTTGAAGCTGGGTCTACATCTCATTCTGCTTTGTATCTGCTGCCTCACAGGGCCTGACACATAGGGAGCATTCAAAATGAGCTTGGCAGGAACAGGTGGATGGGTGAATAAAGCAGAGAGGGGCTACACTGGTTCTTCCAAGCTCCTTGCCTCTCTAGAATTCATTGATTTCACATCAAGTCAGTGTCCTAAAGGGGGTCAAAAGTCGAGCTTCTCACCACCCCCCTCAAGACTGGCAAAACTCACCGTGCAGGGCGGCTGCATCCAGGGCTCTCCGTCCACTTGCATCGGCAGCAGCTTGTTAGTCCTGGGAGCCCGAAAACCGAGAGAACACAGTGAGCTTCTCAGAGTAGCAGAATCAGTGTCATTCCCACCAGGGAAGAAGTGGGAAGACTTCACGTGTCTGCCCAGGAACGGTTCTCTAGGACTCTCTGGGAGGCCCTGCTGAAAGATTCCTGCCAGGCATGGTGGCTGTAATCCCAGCACTCTGGGACACCGAGGCAGGTTTGAGCCCATCCCGGGCCACTTAGACACTTAGTGGGATCCTGTATCCGAATAAAAGATGAATAAAAGGCTGAAGATATAGCTCAGTGTGAAGCCCTAGGTTCAACCACGGCAGACCCAGGGCCAAGCACAGGGATCTGCACTTTTATTGTATTTTATTTATTTTTGTTACCGAGGATCGAACTCAGGACCTTGCACTTGTGAGGCAGGCACGGTGCCACTGAGTTAAATCCCCAGCCCAGGGATCTGCACTTTTATAAGCACTGTGGATGTGGTTCTGTTGCCTCGGTTCTCAGACCCACTTTGAAAAACCTCACCGTGGGTGAGAAGTGAAGCCACAAAAGTCTGGGAAACAGTGGCAAGTGAACAAGGCAGCACTACTGCCGAGTAGGCCCTGTTTGGTTCAGCAGTGAGCCAGAGGGCCAGCAGTTGTGCCAGGAACTCCGCTGCGGATGGGCCAGGGCTCCACCTGGATGCTGAGTGAGTGGTTGCATCATGGCTGAGGTAACGTCTCCAAGCTGGCCAGGTACAGCTCGGGTCTGAGTGTGTCTTGCCTTGCACTCGATCCTGGAAAACAGTGTGCTCAGGGGTTGCATGGACCGTGGGCTTAGCTGGGAAAGGGGCATCTAGGAATATTGTCCCCTAGGAGAGGAAAGGATGAGAGGAGAGAGTGATGCTTCTTGTTTGGACAGGGCTTCTCTGGCACATGGATCCTTGTCACTTCCTGCTACAGAACTCTGAATTCCTACTGCATTGCCTGTGGGAGGAAAGGCAGCTCCCTGAAGGCCTTCACTCAGGGGTGTGGGGGACAGTCCCCGCTCTGGTGCCCAGGAAGTCCTCACCTGGGTTTGACATCTGCCTGGCTTTTGGCATTACAAAACGAGAGGAGCAAGTTAGGTTTTGATGTGATGATTCTCTGACCCTGAGGGCATTCAATAGTTAAAAACCAGAAATCTAATAATAAACACAAACAGTCAGAGGTAAGAATGGCATTTTGGTACTTAAGGCTGAAGAGGGTGTGAGGATGCCCAGGAGGATGGAGGTCCTGGCTCACACCTCTTTTTCTACCTGAAAACAGTTCTATGGAATACAAAGGAAAATTCTCCCCCTTATATACAAGTCTTTAGATTCCTTGGGGACAAGATGTTGTGTTCTCTGTGGTTAAGTTATGACCTCGAAGTGCTGACAGATTGGACCCGGTCATCATCAGTGACTTGGAAAGTGGACAGGGATGAGAGATCAACCTGGGAAATAGGGTTCCCATCAAGATAACAGCCTAGAGAGAAAGGGAGCTTTGGGGGAATGGAAAAAACAGAAAAGACAAAGTCATGGGATGAAGCAAAGCGGACAGTGGATTAGATTTTCTGCTAAGAGACATCAGAGAAGGAGCTGCAGGGACCTTTCAGAGGGATAGAGGATGGTGCCAGGAAGAGTTTCCCAAAACGTGCTCTCAGGACACTCGTCCAAGAGGCTCTGGGAGAAAAAGGCTCAGTGGTCAGATGCCTTTGGGAAACCCTGTGTACTGTGGCGATTCAAGAAGCACATTAATAGATCTGATTTGTAACAGGTGAAAGGAAAAAAGAAAGGAATGGCTTCTGAAATGATCAGAGGGGGGAAAACTCTGAGACAATATGACTAGTTGCATTGATTAACCAGAGGCAGCTAAAATCAGAGGATCCTCTCTATCAGACCTGTATCATCCAGGTCTGCAGCGGCTGGCTGTGTGGTCCACACCTTGAAAAGCTGTCATCGTGTTGGTGAAGCAGGACAGGTTTGCTGATTTGGGGGTACTGCGGATTGAGGCCATGGCTTTAAGCATTCTAGGTCAGTCCTCAATCACTGGGCTACACTCCCAGTCTCTTTTATTTTTATTTTGAAACGGGGTCTCGTTAGGTTATGCAGACTGGTATGTAACCTGTGTTGGTCTCCAGAGTCGCTGGGATTGCAGGCATGTGCCGCCAATTTTGGCTATGCTGCTGTTAAGGGTTGGTATAAAAAGGTTGATAGAAAATAGCATTTCCAAGGCCATTATCTGACAGAACAGAGTAGAGCAGGGGACCTGGTTTGTATCAGAGCATGCCTCATGGCACACTAACATTTTAATTTGTAAAGATAAAAAAGGCACAGAATTGGATCTCTGGTTATCTGGACTTTACAATCTTATACCCGTTTAGAGAATGTTACCATGTTATTTTAAGAGAACAGTGAATTGGTTGTGCTGGACCCTCCAGTTGAAGTTGGGATCTTTGCATTGTTATCCTCTTAGGAAATGGTCTACAAGGGTGTTCTTTACAGACCTTATCAGGCTCCCGTCCCCCACTCTCCCTACCACAACTTCCAAAGATTGCTTCCCAGCTGCTGTCTGCAAGAACGTTCAGCGCAGTAGGGAGGGAGACCCAGAGGCTGCTGGGTAACAAGGAGGCATACCTGATCGTAACGGAGGAGCACTGGGCCAGCCTCCTGCCCGCACTCTTCAGGCCGGTGTAGATCTGCCCCATCTCCATGGCTCCCTCGAGCCCCACCACTTCAAGGAGCTGGTCACTGAGGTCTGCAGCGTGAGACAGAAGAGCAGTGTGTACACATCTCCCTGCTCCTCAGGCTGGTTCTGGCCAGAGGGTTCGGTCTCTAGATGGCCGACCCAGGTCTATCAGCATCCATTTATTTCCCACCAAACACTGAGGAGTAGGGCGTCTCCCCACAGTCAATAAATGTCCAAGCTCAGTTTTAGTGGGAAAAAGTGTTATTCAGAATGCTAATATGAATGCCATGATTAGGCTCACATATCACAAGTCCTTTTCTTTTTCTATTTTTTTTGTTTTGCTTTTTGAGACAGGGTCTCACTATGTAGTTGAGACTGACCTGGAACTCACTATGTAGCCCAGGCTGTTCTCGAACTCACAGCGATCTTCCTGCCTCAGCCTCCCGAGTGCTGGGATTACAGGTGTTCGCCACCACGCCTGGCTTCTACACAAGGCCTTTTCAAATGAAGAGTAACATAAATAATGAATCAGCTATTTCTGAAATAATTTCCACCCATTCCACCAACAGTGAAAGATACAGGTTTGGGACTAGGACAGGCAGCAATGTTGACGAAGGCTGTTACTCACTTTTCTCTGTGTCTGAGCAGCATCTTGACAACTGATGGTTAACTAACCTCATGTTTGGCCTGTGGTAAACCACAGGTAAGCCAAACACCCAGGAAACCTTTGGGAAAATCAGTGACCTCTTTCAGGACACCAGGTACCTAGGCCAAGCCAAGGAAAAGAATCTTTCACTTAAACCAGATTGAGCCCACAGTAGAAAAGGAAGGGGAGGAAATACGAACCTCAGGCTCAGAGTCACCTAGGATCGGTGACCTCCTAGGGTGGTAGTTGCTCTGATTCAGAACCTGGAAGTGGCCCATTGTGTTACGGTTCCCGAGCCTTGGAATTTCTCTCTCAAATTCTCTTATGGAAGCAGTGGCAGGATTACAACGCAACTTTTATGACTTTCAAGCAGAAGTAAACATTTAAACGCAGAATTAAAAAGTTTCCATTCTGTTGCCTCCTAAGGAAAGAGTACCTTTCTCACAGGTTGCGGCTAGTAATAATATGTCATTAGTATCCACAAACTAGAAAACCGGGTCTATGTTGTTGCTTTTGTTTATTTAACAGATAGTTTATGTCCTCTAAAGTTTCCCCCTGGTATAGTGTAGCAGTGTTTGTTCAGATTGGTAAGGTGATATTTGGGTTTGCCTTCATTCTTTTGTTTAGGAGACTAACTGTGGTTTTAAAAGCATTCTCTTGATGGATGTATTTCTAATGAAGACAGTTAAAAAAAAAAAAAAACAGTGGGCTGACCACGCTGTGTCAACAGCCCACAGCCTAAACTGATGGTCACTGCTGCACACAGCTGCCAACAGATACACAGATTGCATTAGTCTGCATGTGACAGGCACAGAGCTTTTCTCCTCTGCATCCATCCACACTCCATTGTCCCACTCGTGCAGTCCTTTCTTCACATCCCTGAAAAGCTACTGAGTCTTTAGGCTCTCCATCTCCTTTGGACTTGGGACAAGAAGCCATAAAAGGGTAATATTTGTTTAGAAGAATGCTCCAGGCTCTCTGAAGGAGTTTGGAGCTAATAAACAATGAATGTCTAAACCACTAGTCACTTAATTAGTTCCCTTTTTACCAGAGGGTTGAATAACCATTGGATAATCTTAGGTTACTGCTCTAATCTAATAGTGTTTGTGAAAACAACATGGGCTATGGGTATGAAAAGTGGGGGAAGGCAGAGGAGGAAGCAAGAGGAGGAGGAGGAGGAGGAGGAGGAAGGGGGATGGGGAAGAGGGAAGTAAATAAAGTGCCTCTAGGGGTGAGGAGGGTGGCGACAGCGCTTTTCAATGTTTTCCCTCCTTGAAACATTCCCTGGTAACAAAATGTTCTGAGAAGCAGAGGACTTAATAGACTCAAGTGTTTCAGCTTTTACAATGTCTTGGTCTTTTTAACAAATTTTCCTGTTGAATGGCTTTAACTCTAAAGTTGTTATCACTTCCCACACATTACCTTGCAGCTATCACTTCCCACACATTACCTTGCTTCCTGGCTCTAGAAGAGAAGTAATGAAGGCTGATCTCATCAGCATGAGTGGGTGGGAGGGGGAAGGGGCTTACATAGATGTGCAGATGAAGAGATCAATGGAGGGGAAGGGGCTAGGACCTTGCTGCATGGCTTTCCCTTCTGCCTTTGCATTTGCACTGTGGCTTCTCCTAGGCAAAAAGAGGCAAGGATAACTCCTGCCTCCTGCTGAGGCAAGACTTGAGTGCTCTTCTTCACCACCGCTGCCTGGCCAGAGTTTTCATTCTTCTTATAATGCCTATGGAGAAGTCCTTAGACAGAAAAACCTATTTCACTTTGTTTCCCAAACTTACCAGACAATAAAAATCTTGTTTGGGGTGGTACCTATAAACAGTTGATGGTATTAATTGTCTTTGCAATACACTTTTGGAAATTCTGGCCTTGCTAAATCTCCTTTACTTCCTCTATCACAGAGATACTTAGGGGAACATTAAATCTGGTGCTAAACTGAAAGAGAACAGAATGCAAGCCTATGTCTAGCCACACATAACAATTAATGTTTAGAACACAGAATCCAGGATTGGGACATCTGGTATACCAGGTGTCTGTTTTACCGTAGGCACCAGTGATTCTGAGCGTGATTTTGGCAATTCACGTTATCTCCATATTGTCTTTACACTCTTCAGTGCATTTAAGACGGAATGTCTATGCACCTTAGTAAAACAGGAATTCATTCACTCATTCATTCAATAGCCACTGAGTAACAACCAACTGCCAGACGCTGCTAAGAGCTGGAGTCACAAAATGTTCTATTCCTAAAGGCCTCTTGGGCAAGAAAGAAACAGAATTAGGCACAGAAAATGTCATCACAGAGCTGTGTGATCAAGGAAGGCTAAGTGGCTGATTCTGACCAGGCAAGGTACAGAAGGGAGGGGTTCCAGATATTTAAGAAAGGTGCTGAAGGATGAATGCCGAAGTGGTGCTGGGTTGACATGAGGGAGGGAAAGAGGAAATTCCAGGCACAGGGGCTGGATAGGCACAGGATGGAGACGAGATTAACTTGGTGATAGCCCACTTGGCAATTTCATTGGAAAATATAAATTTTTTCCCCTAGGGAGAATTACTTTCAGAGACTTTTCTTCAGCCAAGTCTAGAGGAAGAGGTCTCTGGCCAGGCTTGTCAGCCGCAGAGTTTGTTTCTTTGTTTTTTGAGACAGGGTCTCACTATGTAGTTGAGACTGACCTGGAACTCACTACATATCCCAGGCTGGTCTCAAACTCACAGTGATCCTCCTGCCTCAGCCTCCCAAGTGCTGGGATTATAGGTGTGAGCCACCACGCCTGGCTCCCAGTTGCAGTTTGATTAGACACTTGGTAAATTCTCCCAAGTAGGTGTGGTGAAAGAAAGAACAAGCTAATTGTTGTTACTGGTTATGGGCAGAAGATAGTCACAATTACTATAACACAGAGTCTGGCTGAAGGACTGGATGAAAAGAGAAAAGTCTTGCAAGTGACTTGAGAAGTACCACAACAGATGTTCTCTGGCAGTGGGAGAGAGGAAGTTGGGAAGAGGTGCTATGAGCAGGGCTAGTGGAGGATCAATTCCTCCTATGGCACCAGTAGTGGGCAGCTCAAGTGAACACTGGTATTGAGGGGCGAAGTAAAGGTGAAATGAGGCTGTGTCAATGGATCCTACATTTGCTGTGTGTTAGAGTTACCTGGGGAGTTTTTAAAAGCAATGATGCCCAGGCTGTACCCAATACTAGTTTAAATTAGAATGTGTGGGCATGTGAACTAAACATCAATAACTGCTTCTGAAGATTGCTGAGATTCCAAAATTCAGCACAGTTTGGGAACCACTGGCCTGGGTTCTTGGTCCCATTGGCAGGTGGTTCTGAGTGTGGCCTTGGACCAGCAGCCTCAGCATGGCTTCGGGACTTGTTAGAAATACAAATTCTTGGGTCCCAGCCCAGATCTGCTGGATCAGATATTCTGAAGGTTGAGCCCAGCAGTCTGATCTTCCAAGCCCTCTAGAAGGTTCTAAGAGAAATTCAAGTCTGAGAACTTGAGCCTGAGCCACTGGAATTGACCAAAATGTAGTCAGGAGTTGGAATGAAGAGCAAAGTAAGTTACTTCCTGACTTCATTGATCTAGAGCTTCCTCAGTTGAAAATTAGGAATAATAGCATTGATCTTGAAGTGTAGTCACGAGATTTAAATGACAGAGCCTTGTGAAAGTGCCTGGCACAGTGTAGACAGTGAAAATATCTGTCTTCTCCACCTTCACCCTTACAACTCCCAACCATCTGCCTATTCACTTGTTAAGGGCTGTGTTCAAGAGTCCCTCCCCAACATTTGACTCGCAAACATTTCCCTAAACTTCTAGTGTTCCTTATGTTTTTTTCACCTCCACACGGAGGCTGGCCATCCAGCCTGAATTAAATGGGCATCCCACTCTGTCTGATTTTTGTTCCTTTCATCTCTTCCCTAACTCCATTCCCTTTTCTACTTCTTTTATCTCAAAGCCCCATTTTGGTTTTAATTTCTTCATCCTGAGCATGTTGGGAGAAGGGACCAGAACTCAACACTGACAGGTAGTCTGGCAAAACACTCTTATATAAAGGGCACGTCCAGTCTGCCCCTTCAGGAGCTAGGGAAGCCAGTGGGACAATGTCCAAGTCCAAGATCAAAGTGCCAAGAGGTTGGCTTCCTTTGAGGCCTCTCCTTGGCTTACAGATGGCCGTCCTCTTGCTGCCTCCTCACACGGATGTCCTCTTGGCACATGTACCATTGTATTTCTATTTGTCCACATTTCATCCTCTCACAAGGGCACCAGTCAGGTTAAATAAGGGCTCATTTCACTTTTGCTTAGTCCTCTCTTTTTTGGGGGGTGGGGTGGGTGGGAACCGGGGATGGAACTCATGACCTTGTGCTTGCAAGGCAGGCGCAGTGCCACTGAGCTAAATCCCCAGCCCAGCTCAATCTCTCTTT